TTTATTTAAAAATTACTGGAAATCTATATTTCAAATAAAACTCAAAATAAACATGGACATTTACATATACAGAATTCTGTATGCTGTATAATCTTATCTCGTTGATAATCACTTATTTGTAAAGTCTCTATTTTTCGGGAATTCCCGATTTTCCCGAATTTTCCCGATTTTGGCACTTTTTGAGAGTTACTTTTTAAAGAAAAATATGGATTTTCTATCGAAATACTAATGAATTTGCTCACAAAATACCAAAACTTGCCGCAAAATTACGATTATTAATTATTTTTGCATCAATAAATGTCATTATTTTGTTTTGTTAGTGCATATAAACCTTTTAAAAATCACTTAAATACATAATTATTATGTGAAAATCCAATTAAAACGTAATTCCCGAATTTTCCCGATTTTGGCCTTGTATACTCCCGAATTTACATGTTTTTATTCCCGAAAAATCGAGACTCTACTTATTTGATTAAATTAATGACTTTATTTACATACGTTTGCGGTTTTCAATATAAACTTTCTCAATAAAATAAATGATTAAAAACAATACGAGAGAAGTTGCGGCACAAAATAAATTGAGATAGATGAAAACCATTGAGGATATGTAGCGACCGATCACCACTGAGCTCAGGCATTGAAACAGACCGGTCCAGAATACAAACATAGTGCCCATCACATTAGTGACCGGGGTGATTGACTCGACCATTTGATATACGGCCCCGTATACGGGGCCAACGCCAATACCCAGTATAACATTTGCCGTCCATATCATCGTTAGGGATGTGTTGGAAAATACAACAAATAATATTTGGGATAAGAGAGTGAGGAGTAGACTAACAAATATGATCACATTGGGACTGACCAAGGTGGAAATGGGCGCGCTTATACCGCTACTTAAGGTAGATGTGGCCAACATAACCACATAGATATTATTGGCCAACTTGTCGTTCAGTTGAAGTTCAGAAGAGGCAAATGAAGTCCAATACGAACTCCAATTGATTGTAATGACGGCCGAAAAACCAATTAAAAGCGATGACAATATGATCACAATTAGTATGGCTTTCGTTGGCATCAATTCTGATACTAACGTCTGTTTTATACGTGATATGAATTTCGTGATTCGGTTTCCCTTCACTTCGAGCTCTTTAGGGCCCACTTCTCGAGGAATGTACTTCTTGTAGAAGTTTAGGCCACCGATGAATAGACCGCAGGCGACGACCAATACACCAATCAATATATACGGGATATTAATTGTTGTAACCGTGTGTTCAGTGATCTCAATAACCGATGAGTTAACCGACTTAAGGGTCAATCGGTCGCCGATCGCCGTATTGTTTAAAAGAGTGTCATTCAGAGCCGTAGTTTGTAATCTCGTATACGACCAGTGGTTGCGATAGAAATGGATTTATAATGAGTGGCGCCACGAGAGAGCCCACACCCATCACAAACCGCAATCCCTGTGCGAATGGCCCGCAATTCTGGGCCCACATCTCCACTATCCATACGTTGGACACAGAATCGATTCCTCCGCAGTCGAGGTTAATGATAACAAACAGCAGGTAAACAATGCTTAAACGCTGGACGTAACACATTATGCTAATACATATACCTATTTGACACATGCATATCATGTACGCGATCTGTTTGTTTGCCATATTAAACAACGGTCCGCCTGTTTTTGATTGCAATTAATTACTTACTTTCGTTAATATATAAATGGTTCGACAAATTAATTTATAATTACTATAAAATTATAATATGTGGCCCTTTGAGGGACCGAAATAAAATTGAATTAAATATTACTTAGAGATCCAATTGTATAGAAAGCGCCGGCGAGTGTCTGAGTGACCGAAATCTGTTGAAACGATGCGTTATATTTGGTCTGCAGATCCAGAAGCGATGGTCCGATCATAACGTTTTGTATTGTCTTCGCATTTAATTTAAATTATTTTAATTATTATTAATAATTTCTTTACAAATAAATATGTAATCAAATATTCTTACATAAAAGAAATAACTTAAATAAATAACAAAAGTTAAGAAATATTTATAAGCCGTCGATATTTTTTCAGTTGACATAATTTGGGGACAATTTTAATACATATATTCAAGAAAATTAATAATAAAATTTATCATAAAAATTTCCTGATAATCAGGTATGTAATATAATAAATAACAAATATTAAGTTTATTGAAAGAATTTTAATTTGTTTCTAATATTAATTATTTAAAGATCATGTGCAAAATTTTGCATTTATGTCATATCAATAGAATTACATGAAATTTCACTTTTTGATCAATTCGTCAATTCATTGTTTTCTTATAATATCCTGCAATTGATTTCATCTTTAAAATTGTTATTTCTCTACAAATTTACTTTTGTAGTGTTGAGGTAATTGTGTACATTGTCAATTTTAAACATGCAACATATAAAAAAGGGTAAACATTAATAAAGTAATTTTATTGTTTAAATCCGCTAATTGCAAAACAATTGCAAAATACATGATAAAAAGTAGTAATAATTAAACAACTCTTTCGAAGTGTTTATTTGACATTAACTTTCGTCGATATAAAGCAAATATAATGCACCCAAACGTGAATAGTGTGGCGCCGGTCGACACCATAGCTGTTCCCACACTTGTCTCGTGTCTCACTATTATTGCCGTTAAACCAAATGTAATCAATAAAATACCCACAGATGTGATCAATACTGACGACTGATGTATCACTATTTGGGCGATTGATGTCATTATTGGTTATTACCGACAAACTATTCAAATTAGTACAATGTTATAATTTGCAACACTTTTTTACATAATGTAAGGCACATATGACTAGTCTTTAGTATGAAAACATCTACAGTACATTATAATTATAATGATTAGAAAAACGCCCAATAAATATGATTTGAAATGAAATGAAACAACTGTTGGGTTCATTAAAATGTATGCCAGCAGTATATTGTTATATTTGTGCCGCAATTATGCAATACATTGATTAAGTTTGATTAAATGTTTACTAATTACAATTTTTGTCATTTATTAAACTACATTTACACTAAATATAGAATTTCAAACCATCTTTATCATGAAGATTTTAATTTTCTAAATATTTAATACATTTGATTTTACAAAAAAAAACTAGTTGAAAATGTTTATTTCAAATTACAGGTATTGTCAGCCGTTTTCCAATCGATAACCCATTTCTGCCCCACTTTTCCGGAATTCAAATCAATATTTACGGAAATTCTGATCGAATCGTCTTTTAATACAACACTTTCAACGGGTTTTCCATCGACTAATGCGTTAATCTTTGCATTAAAAGTGTTTGCAATAAAAATATTTTCAAGTATCTGCGGTTTCTCTGAATTATAACCTTTGGTTTTAACCACAATATGAAGGGAACAGTTGGACAACAATTCAAATTCATAGAAATTATAGTGATTTGTCTCAATAGTGTTGAGAGAGTCGCCGTCGTCCCAATACATGTCTCCCTTTGCACTCTTATTCTTCGGATAGACCTCTAAATTAATAGGTTTTTCTCTCAACATTTGTGTATTGATTGCTTTATCACAACCGATGGGCAAAATATATCCTCCCCTCAGATGGAAAGGCGGGAAAAGTCGAGAATCGGGTAGTTTTACATGTCCTCTATTGGGATACAATTTCACAAAGTCTTCTGTCGGCTCATACCAGACATCGTCGGGAAGGTATGCATTCACTTCTGTTTGATTCTGTTATACAAATACCAGAATTAAATATAATTTAAAATTAATATACAAATTGTTTCATTACTTCAAACAGAAACGGCGAAAAGAGTACAACTGATCCCCACATAAACTGCTCGTCTATACCATAGGTTTGCGGATCAGTCGGGTATTCGTGAAACAGAGGTCTGACAACAGTATTGCCCAATACATGGGCTTTGAAGAAAAGGGTATATAAATAGTGTAGGAATTGGTATCTGACATAAAGTGACTTTCTAGCGGCGTCTGTCACCTCCGGGTGACCCCTATCAGCCCAAACTGCGGGGTCCTGTTCCTGTTCCTGTCCATTCTCGTGATGGTTTCGACTGAACGGGTAAAATGCTCCCAATTGTTGCCATCGACGACAGAGATCAGGTGCCGGTAACCCAAAGAACCCACAAATATCTGATCCAACCTATTAATGATAATAATAATTATAGTAAATATTCAAATGATATTTAACTTAATAATACATAAGGAATGCCGAAGAGATTGAATTCCAACATTCCTATCACTGAGTCCTTCATATGAGACCATTTGCTTCGGTTGTCTCCCAACCAGTGACCCGTGTATTGTCCCGACGATACAAATGTTGATCGCGATAATACATAACCTCTCTTTCCTGTTATCTCATTCAATGCCCTAATGTTTTTAATTATTTATAATTGTATTACAAAATTTAATCTCTTTAAAAATAATTACTTTTGTGTGGGAATAGCCATCGATAGACCATATAATGAGTGGACGTCATAGTGTTTGTATTGACCGGACTCTCCCTGTACTCCAATCATACAAATTGATTGTCTACTCAAGCGCTCAAAGTTATGGACCCAAAGAGCCTCTGTTTTTTGCAATTAACATACATTTAAATATACAAGTATTACATTTATTGAAACACTTAATTAACGATTATTACTTATTTCAATGGGAATATTATCGTATTGATTGTGAGGGCACGTGATATTAAAGCCTGTGCCAAATTCGACCGACACGGGCTCATTCATATCCTATTAAATCAAAATATTAGTTTTAAATGAGTTCATAACAGTCAACAATAATAGCATACAATCCAAAGTGAATTGAATTTCCATCCAATAGAGTACAAGTGTTTAAAGTTATTTATCCACCAGTTTTGGGTCGCATTCTTCATAAAGTCGGGAAAGGCAACGGGTCCGGGAGGCCATACCCGCCCATACATGTTGTCGTGAGTGACATCTATATTATCGGGATTATGCCTGTCTTGTATGGGAACACTTTTAGGCCACTTTACGAATACATTTTGATTGTTTCCGTCGAGAAATATTGAATAATTTGGTTCATTTCCTTGAATACCCGGGTCTATGATTGGAGTCCAATGGAGATTGTATTTGCTTTGAGTCTCTGTTATAAGTTGTGGCAAATCTTTGAAATAGTTTGGATCGATAGTGAAATCTCGTGACCAGAATTTATAATCGCTATCAATATATTGAACGTCCTTTGAATAAAAAAAATTGTTTCAAAATTAGACAATAGTTTATGACATGAATGCCTCACATATGGGATCTGATGTTTAATCTGTCGCTCGACCACAGCTTTCACTTGATTGGTGTTATGGTAACCATATTTGGATATTTGAAAGCCAAACGCCCAAAACGATGGCATAAATGTGCGCCCAATGAGTGAAGTGTATAACTGTATGACATGTTCGGGATTATCGCCGATAAACACAAAGAAATCCAATATTCCTCCAATTGTTTTCACAGACATCGCCGGCGCCGGCATTAGTGTGTATTCTGACGGATATTATTATAAATTTTATTTCAAATTAATTCAAATTTACGACAATATACCCATAGCATTGCTGTTAAGTAATAGAATTCCGTGAGAATTGCCATTACTTTCAAGTACTGTATAGAAGGGGTGCTGACCGTAATTATTCTTCTCGTCATTCTGTTAATAATAGTTATATTTTAAGTATTAGAATATTTATTAAAATTTCAGTTTAATATAGTTTATTAAATTCAAAATATGGATATTACAAGACGTTACTTACACTGTCGGGTGCATTATCTTTGGTAAATATGGGCCAAGTCTTGTAATTCAAGTCATGTCTGAGAGACGGGTGAGTATTCTCTCCCAAACCGTACACATTATTTGACGGCAAATAACTTGATATTTGAATGAATTGATCGCTAAATATCAGACCACCGATCGATGTGTCAAATCTGATATCAAATAATTAATTAATAATTTGTGGTAAAAATTTTTAACATACATTTTAGTAGAAGTACTCTTCCTTTCGATATTAAATTCAAAATTAGTTTTATTTAAATTAAATCTATATTTCTTGAGATTTTCGTCAATTTTCTTCAATGGTTTTTGTAATAACGGGAAGTTTGACTGAAAGGGCACTTCATATCTCGTATTAATTGCGTCCGAAATCTTGAATCTCAATATATTTTCCGTATAATAAGTGACCGAAAGTTTAAGATTTTCCAATTGTTTCACAAATTTAGTGTCTTTTGCCGTATCTTTGAGTTTAAGTGAGGCTTCAAAACCAAAATCAGTTGTTTTGATTGAAGTAATGTCCACTTTATACCCGAGTTTTGCTCCATTGAAATAACAATAAGGAATTTGCGGCTTATCTTTAATAGGATTATAAATGCAATCCCTTTCTCGGCACTGACTTTCACTAAACTGTTTGTCTATAATTAAGATTTAATTAAAAAATATTTTTTCAAAAATAAATTTATTAATAAATACTTGAAATAACACAATCCAAGCGATTACTGTTTGGATCAATTGAACTGCATATTGAAAAAAGTGTTAATATAGCGAAAACCTTTAATACTATCATGGTTATAAATAATTGTTGTCAACGCATTAAGACTAAAATAATTTCCACTATATATACCACATTTTAATTGATATGTTTTCAATTTTTATCATTATTTGAGAGCAAATATTATTTTATCATGTGTACACTCAAATGTTGCACTTATATAAAATACCACAATGCTTTTGCACTAATAATTATTGTGCCCGCATTAAATCTAGTTATTATACTGTCAATATGCCTAATCACAAACCACTTTAAGATTATATAATATTAAGTTATCAATTAGAGCTTATTATTTATGTTATAATTTTAACCAAATATATTAAATATGTATGAATTTATCTAACATGTAAAAATGTACTGTAGTTTGAAGCCAACACTGAAGAGGTCGGCAATTGTGTGATATTCTGTATAAACAATTACTGCGAAATTCTGAACAATTGGATTGAAGTATACATTCTTGTGTTTCTCATACACTAAATACAATCATACCGTATATTTAGGTAAGAATTAATTATATCAGATTATTACATATTAAGAACATTTGATGCTAAATAAATATATCACATAGATTATTTCATTAAACAATTGAATAGTTGAAATGAAAACTTAATCAATAATTGTTTATTATTAATAATTTATTATGGTGAGAATAATCAAGGATGTTTTTGTCATAGTTTGTATGAACTACTTTCGCAAATACTGTTATTTAAGATAATAAATTATTGATAGTACCAAATTTATCTACATAAAGAAACACACAAATATAACTTTCAATTTCTTCATACAATCTATATTATATAACTGTAAAAATGCGTTTCTTATACTATAGTATTAACTTTGATAGAGTGCACAGATTGTGGCAATCATTGTCTCTCGCAGTGAGATATTACATATCGTAAGGAATATAATTTGTATCGAAAATTATAAGTTTTGTTTCTAAAAAATCTAATGGATTTCTAACAGAGAAAGAAAAATCGTAAAATTGAATTACAATCCAATTCATACAAGTTATAAGTTTTTATATAAAATTGATTTTAGAGCCGAAAAAAGTGTTTTCATTAATCAATAGAAGAAAACTTTTTTTTCTTCACTCCTCGCGAGCCGTGAATTTCATGTCTTCATTGTTATCGAAACCACAATAAGATCCGTATTTTTCATGTCTATTGAAAATAAATTAAATTCTCAGATCTCATACAAAATCAAACGTCTGTCTGAAGAGGACTTTATTAAAAGCCGTGAATAATAGAAATTTATGAAACTTTGTTACGCTATCGTCAGCTCTGTTGCTATGAGTGCTTACCTTTCTTTCCATGAGTTTTTACAAAAAAAATATCACATAAAACCCAGTCTTTTATCATATAATATGAGGGAAACAGAAATAATAACAACAAATCATTTCATATTTAATGATAAATAAGTCAACAATAATGCCTTAAAAACGAGTAAACGTATAGAAAATGTATTGTAAAGTATATTCTGTAGTATAAGTTGATTGTATGCTTTGATAAATATGTTTCAATACATTTCTGTGTTATTATTACTTTTTGTGGCACAAAATATATGGCATATAATGTATAATAGAGTCACACATTCGGCGACACAACAAATAAGTTTTGGATTTTTTGATGAAAAAACAAATCAAATGAATAACAATATTTTATTTTACCATATTATTTGTTGGGGGCTATTGTCAAAAGTATTACCAAAATCGATATTTGACACAAACTGTAAGCTAGAGAGAGAGAGAGAGAGAGAGAGAGAGAGAGAGAGATTGTGTAATATATAGTTTTAATACGAACACTGGTCTCTCAATATATTTGTATCCGTGTTGTCTGTCTCTCTGTGTTCATAGATATAATGTGCAAATCCTTGTGATGTACTGTAAGTGAGGACTTATAAGTTATATGTCTTTACGAATGGATCACAAACTAAACCTAATATAACGTTGTCTTGTCTTTTGTTCTTCTCATTGAAGAGTTGATGGCATTTCTGATGAGATATATTCGCATCAGTGATACAACAGATGCCATATTTTACTCATCACTTCATTACTTGTATATTAATATCGCATTTCATTTCTTTTCGTTTGATTAGAACTTTATTCTTATCAATCATTTGATATTATTTTTATGTTTCAATCGATAGTTATATTATACCCTCTCTTCTCGTTTGCCAATCAATTCTCGCGTTTCTATTATTTCTTATTTAATACAAAAATTATCAGTTTTTTCAACAATAGATTATAAGGAATGCATTCATTTCAATGACTTTAACACCACTTTTTGAATGTCAGCGAAAAATATTATTAATTTGAATGCAAAACTAGAAAATCAGTGAAGTTTTCAATATTAATGTTATTATAAATAAGAGTCGTATTGATTTTGCTAGTTCTCTCTCCCCTTCTCTCTCTCAGCTCTCTCTCTCTCTCTCAAGCTTACAGTTTGTGTCAAATATCGATTTTGGTAATACTTTTGACAATAGCCCCCAACAAATAATTTTTAAGAGCGATCTGTTGCCGTTTCACTCCATCTCCTCTCTCTCTCTCTCTCTCTCTCTCTCTCTCTTTCTCTTTCTTTCTCTCTTTCTTTCTTTCTTTCTTTCTCTAACTTTGATATAGAAAAACATAATATAAAACGAAAATTCTTTTCTACGAAACAGAAGTCTATAATAGAGATATAAATCAATAGATTTGACAAAAAATATTTTTGAAAATCTAAACATTATTTTTAAAGCAGAGAAACAAAAGCCTTGTGTCTATCCATTGAAATTGAGTTCTTATATTCAATACGATGTGTTATCATTGGATTTGAGTTTTTAAAGCTCAGGCATTGTGTGTCAGTTTTATGTGCAAAATGTCTGTTATGTCCACTCATCAGATGTGCTCTTATTTCTCTCTCCAGAGTTTATCATCGCTCGAAAGGCATTAATCAGAGACACCGATAGCACATGTATGCGAGTGAGAGAGAGAGAGAGAGAGAGAGAGGAGATGGAGTGAAACGGCAACAGATCGCTCTTAAAATGCTAACAATAGATATAATGCGTAAAACTATCTAAAAATATATGAAAGAATAGCAAAAATCTTTGGACTAAAAGTGGCAAAACCTGATGGAAGGCTCGCATATTATATGCTTCATAACCAACTTCTTATCTCTTGTCTCATATGTTCGGCAAAACTATTCTTTGGTTCACTGAAGACAAGAGATATTTTTCTTCTTCTCTCTCTCTCTCTCTCTCTCTCTCTCTCTCTCTTTCTCTCTCATCTTCTGATACACTGTTTTCATTCAATTTTTCTATAGTTTGCCTAAACTTAAAGTAAAGAATGACTTTAAATAGTATTATACGGTATATATTGATATTATTCTTGTGATATTTACTTCATTATATTTTGTATCTTAAAATTGCTTTTCAATGTATTGTTATTATAATATGTGTTCAAACTTTTCGCACCTAATGTTCAACTATTGTTGCATTCAATTATAAACTCTTGGATCCAGTTTTAGGGCATATTATATATAATTTATTTTTATGGATCAAAGAATTTCTTTGTATTTCGTATATTAATATAATATAAAAATGAAATTTAAAAATTAATGATTATAGTGAAAAGTAAAGTTCTTATTGTAAATATTTTTAAAAGGGAAATTAATTTACTTATTGAATGAAAAATGAATATCTAGTTATCCATATGCTTAACACTTTCTATGCATTGAATTTAGTTTTAAATTAAAATTATAATAAATACTTTTAATTGTGTTATAAATATTGTAAAAATTTAATTATTTTCTATCATTTTGCATTTACAATATACATATAAATTAAACTTTTAATGACATATTTTATTCATTGATGTACAATATGTCTATAATAAACATCAGAGTTAACTTTAACACTTGGTATTTATGAAATATTAAATTTACATTAAAGTTCTTGCGATAGAAATTATTTAAACATTAATTTAAATTACATGTGTTTAGGCTTTTGGTATATAACAGTCATTAGACGGTATGTTCACAATAGATAGCTTACACTGTATTATATTTATCGTCAAAAATTCAATGAAAATTAATTTTTTTGTTGAAAAATTTTTCAAATATTTTGCATGCAATGAAAATTTATATCTCAAAAATGAGAGATAATTTATTTCTTCGGATCGTTAGCTTAAATATGAATTTAATGCAAATTTCTATTTATTCGCCAAAAATGCATATATTATAAGCGTTGAGAAATAATTTCGCATTTTTCGTAATGAAAACAATTTTTATCATCATTTCTGGGATTCAAAGCGACTGTTTAAATAATATTTTGCTCTTTTTATATGAATATAAAATATTTATACAACAGAAAAAAATTTTATCGCCAAAAATAACAGAAAAAATTTCATTTCACACACAAATAATACCTTTTAGCAAAACACACCGCTATTTACTAAACCAACACAAAGTCTATCTATAAATGCTTAAAGTCGAGAGAGAGAGAGAGAGAGAGAGAGAGAGAGAGAGAGAGAGAGAGAGAGAGAGAGAGAGAGAGAGAGAGAGAGAGAGAGAGAGAGAGA